GCCATGGCTCTTCCTCGAAGAAATCCCGACTCGCGGGTCGACCTCTCGATTCGCGGCGACGTTCGACTCGACGCCATAGAAATAAACTCGAGCCGCGTTTTGCGCAACCCTAGGCCCTTTCGCAACGTTTCCACGGGCGTTTGCGGATGAATTTTCCGCCGGGATTTCCAGGACCGATGGGATTCGTGCCGGTCACTCCGCGAGTCAATGGATCACGGGATGAATGGATTCGCGAGCCCTTCCGGGCGCGCGGCCTTTCTCCGGCGGTTTCTGCGCCGCGGCGTCGCGACGCGAGCGGGTCAGCCTGCTGCGGGTGTGGGATAGGTCGCCGGGAAGGGGCCGAAAGCGAAGAAGAAAGGGTTATACACCTTGCGTGCGGCTCGACTCGACTTCCAGCTAACTATAATAAGACTCGGCTCGGTCGGAATCCGCCCGTCTTTCTTTTTTTGCCGTCGCCCCGAGAGGGGGCAGCGGAGTATCCGCCGAGATGCGTGCACTTACGCGCACGTAACGCTCCGACGTATTATTCAAATTGCGGGTAAACCCTCGGCATGAAGTGTGCGCTCTCGTACGCGTCGAGCCCCCTTGGTGAGCCCTCTCCTCTTCCCCGGGAGGATCTCGTCTCCGACGTGCCCCCGTTCGACAAAGTCTCCCATCGTCCATCGTAGCGAGCCTTCCATTGATTAAAGACCAGTCGGCGTATAAATAATTGGACCTCCGGGGGACTCGCGCCTCCGACCTCCTCGGTGCTAACGGGATAAGGGAACCTCCTCGGACGTCGACCCGGTCCGGTAAATCGTCCTCCTCGAGGGCATCCCGCTTCAAAATTCGACCGCGAACCGACGTCGCCCATCTTTCCTCGTATTTGAGCAGAATTCATTTTTATTCATATTCCGGACGAATGAATAAACAATTCGGCGAGGTGCGCCAGGAATTCGATTTAGCGGTCGACGGATCGCGCCGACCCTTCCCTGCCGCTGGTCGCTCTCGACGAGCTTCTTCGGGGAAGACGTCGCGACGTCCTCGTTAACCGTCCCGAGGAAGGCTGTCCGCGTTTAAGGCGCGAGTAACGGCGCGTCCGGTCGGGTGACGAGTACTCGAGGAGACGTTGACTCGTATTCGTTCTCCGGTCGCAAACGACGTTCCGGTCTCGTGTCGACCGGCTCGAAACGGACTCCGGAGAGTGGAGGTCCACTCCTCGTTACCCACTCGTCGAGGAATTCTGCAAAGACCGGGATGGAAGTGCGAGCTCGGCGGGGATGTCCTACCGTAGGACCATTCCGAGAGGGGGTCCAGAAGAAGTTCGCTCTTTCGGCCCCCCGGCGCCTACCGACACCCTCGGCTATCCTGGCTGGTACGAATTAACGAGTCGTTTGGCCCGTTTTTCGAGAGGCATTTAGTTACTTTGAAATTGATCTCTTGATCCTTTTAATTTGTTGCGCAGCGTGCGCCCGCTCGGCCGGCTCGACCGGTCGAGAGGAGCCTCTTTGATCGGCCGTGGACTTTTTTGCCCTCCGCGTTTAACCCGCCTGTTTCTTTTTCGCGTTGCCTCTCCGAGACGCCTTCTTCCTCTCCTCCGAGCTCTCGGCGGACGCGTTTCCGTGTACACCCTTTGCTCGCGTCGCTCGTCAATTAACGCCTCCCGAGGTTTGAGGTCCAGGATCGGTGGATCGGTCGATGAGAACGCGAAGTTTGACGGTCGAAGTTGACGGTCGAAGTTGACGGTCGAAGTTGACGGTCGAAATTGACAGTCGCGTTCAACGGTCGCTCTCGACGGTCACATTCAACGGTCGCCTTCCGACAGACATCAACGACCACGCCCGGGTTAGAGCCTCGGCATTAGGCGTAATTCTGCTTTATTCGAGCGCATTGTGCCGCCGAAGTGGCCGCGCAGCGCCGTGTGTCACGGATACCGGTTGCAGGCTCATTGTCGGCCAGGCCGGGACACGCGCGCTCGGAGTTACGATATCTCGTTTCTGCATTCAGAGGAGATACCTCGCCCGTCACGGGCATAATCCCCGTTCGTTATCCCGGCGACGTGAATTCAGCCGCCCTCGCGATTCACCGGAGCTGACCGGGCCCACCTAGAAGACCCACTTCCTGGATCCCGCGAGCCTTCGGTCCTTTTTGCTCCCCTTGGCAGAACGGTCCCTCTCCTTTCGGGTCCCGATAAGAACCCCCTGCCTGATATCACCCGGGGTCGAAACCCTCCTGAACTACTCTACCGGCCTCTTTTCTCTTCCCCTCTCCCCTAGCCTCCCCTCCCTCTCCGCAGCGCGCGTCACCGGACGGAATTAGCCGCGACGTCTCTTTTGCGCCGAACTGTACCCATCCGGATTATATCTAGTCTTGGCGGCGAGTAGCACTTGTAACATTGCACACAGTTGCAATCGCGACGGGGTGAGGGGAGAACGACCGCCGGTGGTGGGGGCGCCGCGAAACTGGCTACGAAAGTTGGCGGCGACGCGTCGCAGCGGCTTGCGTAACCGCACGGCCGGAGGAAGAGAGAGAGAGAGAGAGGGAGACCGACGAGGACGCCGCGCGTGACACGTGCACCAACACGCGCGCACGTGCACACGCCGGTGCAACCGCTAGCGCAATTGCACGACGAATGGATCGCCTTGACATTAGCCGTTACAATGTTTTGCCGGGCACATGGCGTCGGCCCGGTCACGCGTCGCCGCCATTGCGGGAGAGACGCGACGGAGATGCCGCTAGGCGGTCACCTAGGGCCTCGCCGCTGCACCTTCGGCTGCCCTCCCATCGGACTGGGGTTTCGACCTTTCGGATCCTGGGACCCGATTTTTCGAGTTCACACGCTCGAATTCGTCTCTCGTATACGACTTTTTCGAACGTTGGCCAATTACGCGATTTCGCAACGGTGCTATATTTTCCTTGCGAATCCGCTCGCGCGCGAGAAAAATTCCCTTGACTCGAGAATCGGGACCCTGGCGATGGTTCGTAATCGGGAGCCGCTGGAACGAGCGGGGCTCGGATAAACGATTTTCGAGAACGGCGTCGCGGCGCGCCGGGAGATGTTCCTACGCGGTCCGGGCCTCAGGAAATTATGTTAATTCGATCTGGCCCTGGAAGCTGGCGCGCCCTCGGTGTGTCTTCTCTTCCAGGGGATCGACGTCGCTGAACGGCGAGGGGAGCCCGCGAGATATCCTCTTCAGGGCTCGTGACGGACTGGCGCATTCGGCCGGTGACGTATAATTAATCCGGCCCCCCTCGCCCTCCCACGCGAATCGGCCGCATCTGCCCCCCTCTCTCTTTTTTATTTTTTTTTTACTCCCTACCTCTTTTCCTCGAGGCGCAACGTTCCCGAGGAACGATCCCGATGACCGTTTCGCGCCTCCACTCGCGGGACCGGAACCTCTCTTGTCACCTCGCCTTTGCACGCGTGCGCACTCGTGACCTGGAGTTTTCTGAAAATGCCCCGGAACGCACCCGGACCCGACTATACCGAGACAATGGAGCGCGTGATTCACGTACCGCCGACGCGTTTTTATTTCCGGGTCATGCCACCTTCGATGCACTTTATATTTAGCCGCATTGTCGCGCGACGGAGGGTGGAAGTGACGTCGGCGTGGTCTCGGTACCGCCGGAAGTCGTCGACCATTAAAATCGGGCGACTCCGGGCAGCTGCAGGTCCTATTTCCGAGTGTTGCCCCGAGCCCCCCTCGAGGTGCGTTTCGATCCCTGGGGAAAACCACCCTTTTCGGGGTCGAACCACTTGTCTGAACGGCATTTTGGAAAAATGCAATTTTCCAAGAGAAATCCGCAAATTTCAAGAAATATTTCTTTGGTTCAGTGGATTTTTTTTTCTTAGAGTGGAATCACTATCAGGGTCGGCAATGGCTAAAAGTGTCGGGTAAAATCGGCGTTGTTGGCGCAGTACCTGCCAAATCGGGACTTTTTAAGGCGCTTAGGAGGTAATTTACGAGGCCGTGCGAAAATTCGCCCCACTCGATCTCCCCGGCCGTCGAGACGCGAATAAATTCATCTCGTACTTGCACCGGACGTGGCCATAACCCGGTACAAAGGCCACGTGCATCTCATCTCGAAGGTGCTGGATGCAAGGCGACCTCCTGTGCTCCTCTCAAGTCCCACAAGAGGGCGGAAGGTCGCCGACCCGGGGGAATGCAACGCTTTGGAAGCTGCAGCGAGGGCAAAAAGGGAGCCTAAATCCCAGTCGCGTCCCGAGGGAGCGAATTCGTCGGCCAGAAGACGCTCGAAGTCGTCGCGTCTCTTCGGCCGTGGTGGACGACGCTGACGACGCCGGGAAATCGTGCAACGGTTTCGCCATCCCGTGGGAGAGAGCAAGGCTTTGTTCCCCGGCCGTGCCGTGTGTATCGGACGGATTTACAGCGACGTAAACACGTCGAGCGGCCGCATAACGTTTCGGACGTGAGCCCCGAAGCAAACACGACGTTGTTGCCGCCGGGGAGGAAGTGGTGTTGCCCTAGGCGTGACCGACGTGTAATCAAAGACCGGGCTAAATCCGGACCGAGGATCAACATTATTTTATGCGGCCCTGCGGAGGACGCCGTCGCGACGGTCCTTGGACACCAAAATGGCCGACGAGACTCGTTAGAGCCCTCTTAACGATCCCGATTAGGGGACATCTCTTCGTCAGGGTCGGGCCGAATCGTTTACGGGGCCGTCGCGACGACCAACCGGCGCCCGAAGGGGCGGCGTTCGTTAACGACCCCAGGAGTGGGAACGATTCGAAATTAAATCCAGTTAGGATAACGAGACCGGAGAGCCACGCCTCGTGGCGGCCATTTTGGTTCCCTTGGCCGGAGGACCCGAAGAGGTCCTTTGCGCGGATGCGAAATGCAGCAACGAACATTGCGTCGTCTTTTAAAAGGCAGGATTTCCGTTTTCCACGAAAATCCAGTGGGGGATTACTGCATCCGGAAATTGACTCGAGATCCACCAATGATCGGTGACTTCAATGACCTAACGACTCTTTTCTGTTTTTCGCTCCTCCCCAGTCAACGACGAGATCAGGAAGATCTACAATTACCACTGCAACAGGATTTCGGAAAACATGCCCAGCCCGGGAAACGAGGCCAGGTAAGTACCCTATTCCGATCTCCTCCACCGGAGCATCGTTACAACGTGTGCATTTTTTATGTGCAGCGTCTGCACCACCGAGGCGATCGTCAACGGGTTCTCGCCATACCAGTATCCGTACTCTCAGTAACGCTTCAACGTGGTAAGTCGATTTTTTTTTTATTCACGCTCGATTTATCGTCACACGTAAAATACCGCACACTGGGAAGAGGTCCGAAACGCGGTCTGGGTTTTTGGGTTCCATCCTAAACGTCGGTTCGGGTAATTTTCCGATATTTCTGCCAAAGGTCTTTTTTTTTTTTTCGTCCGTTTCGTCAGTTTCGTTTTGCCCGTACAATGATTAAGATTAACTAAATCCTTCTGGGTGGGTACCAGGGGCCAAGCCAGGCCCACGTGGGCCCGGCTTCGTCAAAGGGCCCGCTCGGCCATCTTGGCCAGTATTTCATACTTTATATGGCGTTTACGGCGTTTTCGGAATTGCGAGGCCGAGAGAAAGAACTATTCCCAGTCCGGCGGCCAGGAATTACGAAATCCCCAGGGTCGGCCTCTTTGTCCGGGTGTCCTTCCGAGATCTGGGCGGGTAACTTGGCCTTCCGGGGGCAGGGGAAGAGGGGAGATATTCGGGATCAACCGAGGGATCCAGGACCATCCATCGGCTTCTAGTCGAGATGCGCGGAGAAATCGGCTTTAGATGCAGGCATCAGGAGCGGCGAAAAATATCGGGAAGCTCGGGGAAAAAGGGGGAGAAGATCCCCGGGAGATATACGGGGGACATTGCGGAGGATCCGCCGAGATTAGACCGGGCGAACTTCGCGAGAGGAAGATGGCCGCTCGAGAGATACTTCGCCGGGAGGATTGGTTTTCGTTTTAGGACATAAAACCTCGGCGTTCTTCTTTTGTTCGGGACCGTTCGAGGCGGAGTCGTAATCGCGAAACCGGCGCACATAAAACAGATTCTAACCTATAAAATGCCCTTCCTGGCTAGACCCGGCTAGACCGCGGAGCTTACCGGAGCATCTCTTCGTTTCGCTTCTAGATACTCCGGTAATTGCTCGGAGTGCCCCGGTTCATTATATCCCGTTCCCATTTCTCGAAGTTCTCCCCTAAGTTTCCGTCCTAAGAGAAACGAAAGCTCGAATTTAAGGACGAAAAGCTCCGGGTCGCATCTCGCGCCGCCGTTTTCGGGGAGCAAACCCGATCTCTTGGTATATCGCCTCGAAGACTTCTTTCCAGGGTTCTTCCTCGCCCTTTGCGGCCAGGAATTCCTCGCTTAATTTACACCGGTGGATTTCATCGATAAAAAAGTAGCACCCTCTCCCCCGCCGTTACTCATCCCCGTAAAGACCCCGGGCAAAACGGACACCTCGAAGAGCCCGCTCGTAAAACCCTTATGGCTCTCCAGCTCGCGTCGCGACGCCCTCTCTCTCTCTCTCTCATTCCCTCTCATTTGTTTGCCTCGTATTTCCCGGCCCCCAGTAAATTCTGGCAAACTTCATCAAAGCCGAGCACGCGGACGTAAGGGGCCAAAGACGCGGCCGGGATTCGCGGCCTTACGGAGACGCGTCGGCATTAAAGAGCCGAATTTACGAGTGCTCGACCGGGCCTTTATGTTCCTGTCTTCCTGGCACGCCTCGGATTTCGCAGATCGGCCAGACTCTCTAAGGGAGGTTTTCGAGCTTCCCTTCCCTCCCCTCCGAGAAGTCGGGCCTTCCAAAGGCTTGGACAGGGATTCCCTTATTTTTAACCAAAATCCAGTGGAATTAGTGGGAGCAACCGAGTTTCGCTTTTTCACGCGTCAGGCGTATTTTTCTTCTTTTTTTTTTTTTTCCTTCTGCCGCTTTCCGCGCTTCCGCCTAATGAGGATCTGCACGCTGAAAGTCCTCTTCATTCGGATAAATCAATCTTCGCTATGGGCGACGGTCGTGCGATTTATCACGGTCGGAGGAGGCTTGGACCCCGAGGATTTTCTTCCCGTGAATAAACCTGATTCGGCTGCAATAAATCTCGACACTGTCTTCTGTCGGTAGGATTGATTTATTTCGATGGAGAGAACTTTTACTTGGCCGGCCGACGCGGGCGCAGAGGCAGACAATATTTCTTTCTTTTTTCACAATTTTTAAGGACATCGGGAGAAAGACGTGGTTGAATTAACTGTTTCCTTCTTTTCTTTTTAAACCAGTTTTCGTTGTTGAAAAGGACTCGGATACTTTTTATCGCGGCGCTGACTCGACTCCCGATGCGCAACGTGTTGCCGGTTACAATATATATTTTTTCTTTCTTAAAAGCAGCATTGAACGATTTTTTTTTTCTATAGATTTTTAATAAAAAGTTGTAGCCACTTCGAGAAAGAAGAATTAATTGAACGAAAGAAATACTTTGTCAATTGAAAGTTCGACTGAAATCAATAATAAATAAATTGTCACGATTCCGCGGAAAGGTCGCATCCAGTTTTTTTCGAGTTCGAGTCCGAATAATTGGTCTTTTAATTAACGAAATATTTCTTTGGCTCAATGAAACGCTTATATCTCGGAGTATCGGTATGGAAGTTATGCCGTTCGTTCGAGCTCGGGAGAGAAACGGCCGTGGTTTAAATTAAATTCGACGTTGCATAATATAACGTAAAGTTAGCGCGGTGCAATGGCGTCAGCGTTAATTTGGACGTCATTCCTGCGCTCCTGGCAGGAGGGATTCCATTAAACGAGGCGTGTCACTATTTTAGCGACTTTGTGTCGTCGAGATTTTTCCCCGTCCACGTTTGAGCGGTTGCAGCTGCTGCACTTTATTACGTTACCGGAGCCCAGCGGATCTACCATCGCGTCTGTCGTGGCCGAAGTAAGAAATAACATTCGGCGCGGCTCTCGGCAGAAGTTTATTCCCATCAAATGGTGCTCCCTTGATTCCTCTCTACGCCTCGCGAGACCACGCGTTCCCCGTATTTCTTTGGAAATGGAATCGCATTTACATCTTGGTTACCCGGCCTTGCGCCACCGAAGTATCGGTTTCGCTTTTTCTGGCCGCGTCGCGGATTTGCCGCTCGTTTCATAAGTATTTACCTCCTCGGCCATTTTCCATACGCTATCGGGGTAATGTTTCCTCAGTTATGAAAGCAAATATCTAGCGATGCGGGCCAAGAAACGGCACGCGATATTGCTCCTCGTACAAATTGTTCTCGTGTGTAGCTCGGCTCGGCAGAAAACCACTTAACGCCTCGCGTTCTCCACCGCGTCGGCCATTGGAGAACCAAGATGGCCGCCGCGCGGCGATAAGCGGCCGTAAAGACTTGTAAAAGAAGTGCCCATAAACCGAAGTCTAAACTTTATCAATTCGCAGGGTATTTTTATCGCCAGAATGTCGCGCTATCTATCCAGGAGAACCGCCTCGAGGTCCGCGCTAAATGACACTAGACAACTAACTGACGCAGCAATCAATTACCCCCAATTAAAGTCCAATCAAACGAAAATCCTGCCACGGTTTCTTGTAATTATCGGACGCTTATTCCACCCACACTTACGGACACCAAGTTCACGTTCTATACGCATTCCCTTGTCGCGTATATCATATATCATATACCGAATTAATTTCTCAAAAATTCTTGCGCCTTTACACGTGCGCCAAAAGACGTTTATAATTTAGCGGATGCCGTGTATCGCACGTCTGTGGCGTCCATCGTAACTTAATTTACTGGTATTCTACGATTTTATACGGTAAAGTCATGGTTTACGTAATACACGGGAAATATGTCGAAAAACGCAAAATTACCCGGCCCTGCTCGACACTCGTTTTTCACTTTGGCGGCCGCTGGAGAACCAAGATGGCCGCCAGCCGAGGAGGAGCGGTCGTAAAGCCGCATGCGGAGAACGCGCGGCCGCACTAAATGCCGCGAGTGGCAACGGCCGCGGCGATATCAAAACGAAAACGGTAATTAAACCCCCTGACCGAAGTAGAGGGACGTACAAGAGGAGACGAGGGGGGGAGGATGGAATCGGTGCCTATCTCGAGAGATGCGGTCGACGTCGCGACGTGACGCTTCTCGCTGTTGGAAGGACGCACGCGCAACGACCACCGGATTCGGGGCGGTGAAAATAGTTATTTTTACCTTGGTAGTGTCACGAGACGGCGTCTCGCTTGCAAGCTTGACAGCCCCTCGTATACATGCCTGAAATCTTCCATGCCGCCCAGGGAACGACCAATTTCCACTTGGGCATCGCGTGCGCCCTAACCTGGCGTAATGAGGAGACATTGAAACGACGGTGACTCGTCCTTGCCGTTAAACGCGAGATAAAAATTATAAAATACGTCCCATTCTCATCGGAGGACTCGCGACTCGCGGCGAAGAGACGCGTAAGGGGCGCGTCGCGGAGGGATCTGCATTCCTGCTGATTTCTTCAAGACGGGACCGGTTTTCGAGGAAAATCGTAGAGTCCATTCTATCTCAAAAAGCTCCACTCTGCATCTTTCGTCGGATGAAGTTTCCTCCCCGACCAACGGTAGAGGCCCTGCACTGGTGGAAACGGGCGGGATTATCTAATTTCTTAAGCGCATCGCGGAACCCTGGAATACGCGTTGTTCTCGGTGCAAATGCGTTACCGCCGAAAGAGCGATAATCGCGTCGAGAAATATCGATATAAGCCCGATCGTCGTCGATCCTGTCGAGCTCGTCCTTCGAGATCTCTGGGCAGGTTTTACCCTCTCCGTCGCCCCCTTCGAGCTCCCTATATATCCGTCTCCCTCTAGCTGGCGTATACGACTTTCCGACAGGGATGGGGATACTGGTATATAAGGCTCGGTTTGCAGTAAGCAGCATCAATGTAATCAGACAGGCCGCTCAGAGCGGACTTAACGACCGTCATAAACGTGGCCCGCTTTACAGCTCGCGCATTTCTTTTCTCTTTCTTTTTTTTTTTTCCCCTCTTTTTCTCGGACCCTCTCGCTCCCGCGGCCTCCGCCTTTCTCCGAGAGGGGCCCAAGTCCTTCGCTTAGTTTCCTCGGGAGCAGTAAAGTACCAGAGTTTATGTGACAGGGACTAGCGAAGTCCCGCACTCTCAAAACAACGACGCGAAGACTCGCGGGCTCGCCGACCGGGCCCGGCCTCGAGGAGGAAGGAGGAAGACGCCACTAGGCTGTGTAAAATCGTTAACGGTA